TAACAGTTTGTGTTACTACTCTGCTGCAAAATAGCAACAGAAACTTGATTTAGCTGGCTGTTTCCTGTTTGAGGGTTTTTGATGAAGAAAATGAGCTTGTCCACTGTGGCACAGAGAGCAGATGGAGGCCAGGGCTCAAAAGTGGGGAAGAGGAGCCTCTGTGACCAACCTCCCTCTGGATCTGATGCCTTCCAGCTGGCCAGGGCTGGGCTGGGACTGGCCGGGGTGTCCTGCCCAGGGGCTGTGGAGGTGTGGTTGGTGCTGGGGATGGTGTCGGGCAGTGTGAGAAGTGTGGTTGGTGCTGGAACTGGTGTCGGGCAGTGTGAGAAGTGCTTCAGTCCGGTAACAGCCGGCCCAGACACATCAGCCTGTAAGTCAGGGCGTCCCCTTCCCGGCCGTCGGGAGGGTGCCTGCCCGCAGGCGGGACGGTGGCTGTCGGCGGGGGCTGTGGTGCAGAGCTGCTCGGAGGTGGGAGCAGCTGCATGAGGTGACCAAACCCCTTTCCCCTCTGTGTCGGTGCAGTCGAGTGCTGCCCCGCTGGCGCAGTTCCTGGGGTCATCCCCCCCCTTGGACGGATCTCCTGAGGTTCTCCTCAGCAAAACCCCGGCGGGCAGAGCTCCAGCCTGTCATAGCTGCTCTCTGGATGTCTCGTTCCGCAAATACCTCACATACTTTTGTCCATCTTGGCCGTCCCAGATCCGTGTTCTCTGGAGGGAGTGGTAAGGATGCAGCCTGCAAAGAGGCAGCAGGAAACAGCAGTTCAGATAATGTGTTTGTTTATCTCGTGGCTGTATCCCTGACAGGTTTGCTTGGACTTCTGGATCCGTAAGCAGACCTTTCCTGGCCGATTTCTGAATGTTTGGAGAGGGGTAGTCTGTAGTCGTGGTGGAAGCTGGAGGAACTGGATTTTAGACTCTAGTCCAAATTGTGTATTGTTGGGATAGTTTAAAAATTATTCTGTACGTCTGACTAGAACTCTGCGTTAGATACAATATATTTTCTTGCTTCATTGGAAAGAATACATCACTTTTCCCCCTGATTAGCTTAGGAACTTAAACAGGGCTCTTAGAAGTCTTATGGTGCCCATTATATGTCAAAAGCAAGGGAAATGTTGTGTGTGAGAATGTCTCTTCCATTGGAGGGGGAAAAAGAAAATCCTTCCTTTTTTCTGCCTAAAAGTACTATTTTGTTTACACAACTTGGAATACGACTATGCCATATTGTGAAATTGCTGAATATTGCCAGATGTGTTATTTTTGTTTCATACGTGGCAACACGTCTTCAGCTTCTACTCTTGATTAGTAAGTCATTGAATAGTACATTTGAAATCAGATTGCAAAATGTTATGATTAATGGTGTTGATTTGACGGTTTTAGGTAGTCATGAGGGATTTACTTGTTTCCCGAAGAGTTTTAACATTGCACAACTGCTGTAAACATTGCCACACTTATCTGTGATGTCGCCGTTAGTTGCTGTTTGTACCTTGTGTGTCGTGTATTTGGCACTTGCGCTGTTTGTCCCTTCTCCTGCCTGTGGTTTGGGCTCCCTGGGGGCCGTGGTGGGCAGGGCTGCAGGACACCGTGCTGCAGGGCTCGGGGCTGAAGGTGGCCCACAGCCGCTGTGCAGCAGGAGCCACAGCGCTGGCCCTTCTCAAACCTCCCGCCTGTGCTCGTGAAGAACTGGAAAGGGTTTGAGCAGCTCCCACCAGCCTTGATCTGCACTTTGTCTTTGGTACAGCCAGTAGGCTAAAGGATGACAAAGGAGGTTTCCCCTTGATTCCTTCCAAGAAACTTCTCTAGACACCCCAGATCTCTTCACTTGCAAGGAACTCGGTGGAGACCCCGCGCAAACTGGCCCGGACGCCTCAGCTTCCAGGCTTACTGCTGACTTGCCTTCTGCACTGAGCTCTCCCATAGCCGCATCTCAGAGGAGACTTGTAAGCATCCCTCAACTTGATTTTATTCTGAATGAGTCATAAAGCTGGTGTCTGTTTGTATTCCTGCTGCTGGGTTTCACCCTCCTGAGTGGCTGTGGGAGAGTCTTTGCATTTTGCTTCTGCTTCGCTCCGCCGTCCCACTGCGCATCCCCGGCATGGCCGTGAGTGTCTGGCCCCGCGCTCCCTCCTCTGTCCCCCTCCTCCAGCCAAGCTCTCTCCTGCTCTTTGTCCCAGAGCGCCAACACGAGCTCGCTGTGCTCCCCGTGCCCCTGCCAGACCTGCTGCTTGCCTGGCTCCCGAACGCCACGTGGGAGGGAAGGAGCTCCCCCGGTTAAGCGCTACTGCAGCTCTCTCTCAAAGCCTGCTCTGCAGCTTGTTGACAATAGAAATTGTGCTTATATAAGTTTTCAGTAAAAGTGTATCAGATCACTTTTCTGTTAAAACTGCAGACATTTCTTCTGGTAAGAACGGTTTTGTTGCTTTTTTTTTTAAAGATATACTGAGCATTTTTTATGAGCCCCTTAAAATTCTGCTATAAAACCTGTTTCAGTGGTTTAAAGTGTACAAACTACAAATTGTCACATCCCAGAAACCTTGAGTGCATCATCGTCTCACTTAATTCCACTGGCAAATTTAGGAACTGAAGCTGAGTTGGCACAATGTGTGACAAGGTGGTACAGACATAGCCAGTATAGTAATATGGCTTTAATATTAGAACCCCTAATATGGCTTTAATATTAAAGCCCCTTCAAAAACGGGTGTTTACTTTTAGGTTCCTTGTGAGTCAAGAGTGTGTCCTGCAACGCAGAGTGCTTGTGGACATGCACGCTTCTCCACTTGCCTTGGCCCATGCCTCAACCCTTTGGCCTCGTTGTGGTCACCCAGTTACTCTGTTGGCTGCCAGCTGCAGTCATGGCCCGTGCAGGGTCGGGGGTCACCGCAGCAACTGGTGGAAGCAACATATTGTGCCCTTAGCAAACTTGGCTTTGCTCCCGTTTGAAGTACTACTGGAGCTGCTTCCCTGTTTCGGGAGATCCTGGAAAGTTTTGATAGATAGATAGATAGATAGATAGATAGATAGATAGATAGATAGATGGATGCACACACACATAGGTATGTGTAATATTTTAAGATAAAAAGAAAGCCAACAATAACTGTTGCTGGGTTTTGCCTGGACAGGTTTGCCACCTGTAACATCCAGACTGCAAGGAAACAGGCTTGAAGGTAAAGAAAAAGAGAACAGAAGCGGAGATTTTTAAGAAGTTTGCTTCTGGAAGTGGTGCTCTGGATTGGAGGGAGCTGCGGAAAAAGAGGAGGAAGGAGGTGGAAGGACCAGGAGGGGGTAGAGGGCGGCCATGACCGTCCGTGTGCCCGAGAGGTGGAGCCGGCCGGGGTCGGTGCGGGCAAGCGGCAGAGCCGAGGTGAGGGGTGTCCCACCTGGTGCCGCTCGGCGGGAGCGGGTGGGCACCT